ATGTCTATGTCATGGGTGGTATTGGCACCCAGCTGAGTAGAAGCTACATTGGGTTGGGTTTCATGGGTGGGATAGTTTGATGTGGTTCACAGATACTTTTTGATATACTTTGATGGTCTAACTGGTTGTCTAACTGGTTGAACATTCCAGGAATGTTCTTGTAATTAATCCTCACTTAGCGATGAACCCTCTATATAGTGGTGGTCACCACAGGCTATTAACATCGCTTAGGTGAGTAGCCATCTACCGTACGCCATCAGGTGTGCCATCTAGATTCGTGCAATTTCACTCCATGACATTCGCACAATGGCAAAAGTGCCAGTATGAGTTTCTCAGGCCGTGTCCACATGCCACATGTCATTATCCAAGGTGCTAACCTGATCGGTGCCAAGTCACAGTCTGTTATGTCACGATCATTTCCTTCAGTGGTCCAGTCCAGGAGCACCGGAGTAATGGCAGCAAGTTCCAAATTAAAAGGACAGAGGCAGAAGAACCCTGCGGAATCATTTTCCAGAACATGGAGCTACCGTGAGTTTAACACGAAAGTTTGTACCCTATTCCCCCAATACACAGGTGGTATCACCAATGTCGACTGGTGAAATGAAAAGGTCTGCTGAGTTATAATGACAGAAAAATTTCCATCAGGCAAAGATAATTTACTTTTCTCTTCCCTCTACATCAAGATATTATGAAACAAATTGATGCAGCTGAAAAGTAGGCAACATGTCAGAGGTGTGTCAGGCAAGAAATAAAAACATTACGTTATCTTTCAGGATTTTGCAATGTTTGTGCTATGTCAGCTCTTCTAAAGCTGTAATTTGTTATTTTTCACATTCTAAGTAATTTGTTCTGTTCACACCTAACTTCGTGTGTTCCTTTCCTCCGGTCCAAATACGAAGCAGGCCAACCTCACTTAATTTTCACGTAGCATTCAGGGTGGTTTGATCATGAACTTTTCTTAAAGAACTGTCCTCTCCCCGACTCCCTCACCCAATCCTAGAAACTGTCTTCGCCCTGTTGACGACTCATTGACTCAAAATAGGGAGTCCTCATGCTGTGTGACCTCGTCCCAGTGGCTGTACCTCTCTGAGGCTGTTTCCTTAGTGGCAAAATTGGAACACTAGTGCTTCTATTACAGGGTCGCTGTTAACTTCAAATAAGCCAAGGCCGGCAGAGCGCTTAGTGCAGACTTGGAACGCAGGAGCGATGATGACCCTCAAGCTCTCTTTACAACAGAACTTTCCCGCAGCTTCCAGCACGCCCGGCACGGTGCTCCCCGCCTCCCCTCCCGGTGGGCGCGGCCTACTTGCCGCTGGGGGCGGTAGGTGGAGCCAAGGGTTACTTCCGGGGTTCCTCCCCCTCCAGGGAACACCCCTCTTTATGATTGGCAGTAGCTACTAGCCAGTAGTGATTGGAGAAGGGATCGGCGCTCCAACCCACTTGGGAACGTCTCTTCCGAATTGGCTAATTGCAAGCCTTGGTGGGTGGAGTCTTCTCAGGGGCGGGCCAAGGCGACGAGCGTCTGTTTTGACTAATGGAAACTTGGCGGCGAGTAAACCCAGGCCAATCAGAAGCGAGAAGGCCGGATCCTGGGCGGGGCTGGCGAATCGGCAGTTGAACCGCTCGCGAGGGGTGTCCGCGGAGGTGAGAGGCGGCGGGATCGGCGGGTGCGCGGGCCGGGCGGGAGGTCCCGGCGCGGGGAGGGGGCGCCCCGGGCCGAGCGGCGGGCTGCGGCGGGCGGGCGGCCGACCCGGCGAGTGGGACCCGGGAGTGGGGATCAGGCGCTGGAATGCGAGGGCGTGGGGCGGAGGGCGGCGTGTGAGGAGGGGCAGGTTCGTGTCCCGCGGGAGGTGTCTGAGGGGCCGAGTGTGCAAAGCCGGGACGGCGACCTGCCTCCGAGATGCAGCCTCTGCCGCCCGCGGGACACGTCGAGGCAGGGGGTTACCCCAGCGCAGCGTGTGGGGCGAGGTCCCTGCGGCGAGGCGCGTGGGGGCCGGTGGAGAGCGCAGGGGAGAGGGTGAGCTTCAGCGGGGAGCGAAGGCTCAGGCGCCTTCCCAGTGCGCTGCCTCGGGCAGCTCGTAACAACCTCACGAGCTCCGGGGTGTCCGGAGTGCGGGCTCTGGCTGGGTTGCCCGGGTCTGCACGCTGGTCCTGCCCCCATCGCGCTGGCTTTGGGCGGCTGGGTTAGCCCCTTGAGCCTCAGGCGCATCACCTCTTTGTACCTGCCACCACCCAGCGGCCTCACCCAGTGTCAGGCTTCAGATGGTCTTTCTATGTGGCAGCTGCAGTCTGGGCCTCTCCCCTCAACTCCAGACGCATACACCCCATGGCCCACTTCTCTCCTTGAAAGCCCAAGTGACACCCGACTTGTCTCAAACGAAACTTGTGGTTTCCCTTTTCCAGCTCCAAACCCAGCTGGTGGCAGGTCCATTCTACTGGGTACTCAGGACAAAACCTGTGGTCTGTCAGTCAGCAAATTCCGTGGCCTCTCCCTTCAGAAACACTTCCAAAATCCAGCGTGTTTCATCACCTCCCTTGCCACTCTGGTCCAGGCCATGACCTGTTCTTACCTGGTCTGTTGCTATGGCCTCCTCTGGGCTCTCTGCCTCTGCCTTTGACCCCACATTCTGGGGATCCTGTTAAAACAAAAGTCACACAGTGTGGCTCCCATCTCCTGCTTAAAGGTCCTTGCTGGGCCTGCCAGGCTCCTACCTGATCTGCCTCCTCGTTCCTCCATGCCCTGACTCCTGCCATCAACACCCCCACCCCCTCCTCTGCTTCAGCCATCTGGCCTCCTGGCTGTCCCTCAAACACAAGCAAATACATTCTGACCTCACGGCCTTTGTATTTGCTGTACCCTCTACCTAGATTACCCTTCCCCCCCCACTCCCAGGTAGCCACAGGGCCTCTCCCTCACCTCCAGGTCTCCTTTCAGAGGTAAACTACAGGCCCTTGCTGACCATCCACTCCCCAGCCCCTCACCCCCTGGCTTTATTTTTCTTCATAGCACTTGTCACCACCTGACAGAGATTCGTGTTTGTGTCTACTGGCTTCTTAGAGCCTCCACTAGCTTGCGGATACTGTGTGACTATGGCAGTCAGCCCCTGGAGAGTGCACCGGTGCTTATGGGGTCTTACTCCTGTGATACCACCATCACCACCTTTTCTTGGGGCTTCCCTGTGGTGTCTTGGGCAGGGTTGTTGAACTGGCAGGGCCTTGGGTTGGGAGAAAGGCGGGGTATGTTCTGATGGCCTAGGACAGATGCTCTCAGCTCTACATGGTGCTGGGAGTGCTGGCAGGAGATGCTGGTTTCCAAACGGTTTCCAAACCGGGGGAAAGGTCTGCGGCCCTCCCTTGGAGAAACAGGCTGGTTCAGAGCTTGTCTTATCCCTAAACTCCTCCTTGGTGGCCCACCCTCTGCTGGGTGGTGCTGCAGATACTGCAGTGACCCAGACAGCCCCTTGCCTGCTTTGGAGTGAGGGAGGGCTGGCTGCGGGAGAGAACATTGTTGCTGCAACCTGGAGGATGATGACAAGGGGTGCGCCGAGGGGAGAAAACCTAGGCTTTTTCTCATGCCCAGAGCCCTGTGTCCCCGCTTTGTCCAGTGATTGATTAATTAGGCAGCCCCTGAACTGTCAGGCCCAGGGTGCTGAAGGTGTAAGAAAGAGCAGGACGGCTCTGCTCTCATGGGCCCCACTGGTCATCAACGGGATGCACAGAGGGGAGAGGCTGACCAGTGCCAGGCTGTTTGAAGCACCTTTTACATATCACTGAATTTAATCCCACGATAGTCCTGAGAGGTGGGAGCTCTTATGCCCATTTTACTGACCGGGAAGGGCCCAGAGAGGGTGCCTGGCTCAGGGTCGCACTGGTAGGTGGTGCAGCCGGGTCTAAACCCATGGGTCTGCAGCATGTGTCTGCTTAAGGTGAGGCCACATTTGGATTAGTACTGGGAGGGAAAGGAGCAGAGAGCAAGGGAGGAAACGGAAGGGGAAGGTGGTCAGGGAAGGGCAGCTGGGTAATGAGCAAGGGATAAACAGAGTTCCAGGCCCTCCCTCACTACTGGGTCCTAGGCTATATCGTCTTAGCCATGGGGCTAAGGTTGGGGGCAGGGGTGGGTAGAATACCTACCTGAGGGTAAAATTAACAGTGAGCCACTGGTTGATAGGAAGGCAGGTCCTTACCTAAGACAAAAAGTGGTTGAGGGACATTGGGGAGGGGGTCTGGATACCCCAGGGTGGTGGTGGGCAACAGCATTGGAGGTCTGGATGGTGGATTTCTTAAAGGGTTTTTGTTTCTATTTGTTCCAGGGGGACAACATGGGAGACTTTGGTCTGTATGGGGGGGGGGGCAGGGTGAAAGGAGAGGGCATTCGCTCCAGCCCAAGTCACCAAATGGTCGAGCTGTGGGCTCAGAATGGGGGCAGGAGTGTTACTTAGGTCAGAGGGTGGGCCAGGCACTGGGCCTGTTAGGTGAGAATCCAGCTAGGTCCCCTCAGGGTAAGTGGGGAGGAGGGGGTGCTGCTGAGAGTGGGAAAGCCACCCTGGGGTGGGGGTGGCCAGGAGTGGTGATTTCCTATGTCCAGTAGGGGAGATGGTTATGTGGATTGGTCTTTGGGGAGCCCATTGAGGAGTTTCAGAGCTGGCCTTGGGGTGAGGGCTGTAACGTCTAAAATAGCCAGGGAGTGCAGTTTTGGAGGAGGAGCCAAGGGTGGTGATGTAACCCTGGAAATGGAGAGGGGTCACCTTAGTGAAAGATGAGAGGGAGAGGGAGGGCAGGAAAAATTGTGTGTGCGTACGCATGTACTTGTGTGCTGAAGCTAAGTTGTCACGAGGGCCGAGGGCCGGGGTCAAGAGTGTGGGCCGGGATGGGGCGCTGGGGCGTCCACACCCAGGAGAGCGGGACCCGCCAGGTTGAGGGGCGCACGTCACGGGGCGGGCGGGGCGGGGCCTCGAGGGCGTGGCCGGGACGCCGAGTCCGACAGCTGAGGCGGAGGGGAGCGGAGCTGGGGGGAGACTCGGGACTGGCCTGAAACCAGAGACCAGGATGGGCCACTCGCCACAGAACAAGGATGGAGGATGCAGGTAGAAGGACTGGGGGTGGGGGTGAGGGCGGGAGAGGCTGGGGAACCTCAGAAAGGGGGGGACGCTCAAAGAAGGCTTTCTCCGCGGAAAAGAGAGGTGGGAAATGGGGGTGGGAAGGGAGTTTACATAAAATTCGGGAGGGGACAATCCAGATGAAATACGGGGGTGATGGAATACGGGGTGATTCAGGTGAAATGCGGGGGTGATGGGGGCTGAAAATTGAGTGTGTGTAGAACCTTGGGCAAAGGTGGGGCGCTAATTTCTGGGGGGACCCTCAGGAGAACTCGAGTCCTGCTGTAGGAAAAAGGGGAGTGCAGCCCCCCCCACCCCCCTCTGTGAGGGCCGGGTGGAGGCGAGGGGACTTGAGGCGGTGGGGGGTGGGGAGAGTGGGGGACACGGCTGGTTTCAGAACGTCGCGGGAGGAGGCAGGGCTGGAATACGGGGGTGAGGGGGGGAGTTCTGCAGAGAGAGGGGAGGGGAGTCCAGGATCCAGAAGCCCTCTGGGGAGTGAGGGCCAGGAAGGGAGGGCGGGGCGGGCGAGGGTGTGGGAGCGTTTCCTTCAGCGACTCCTGAGCGCTCGCGCCGAGCCTGGAGTGGGGTGGGGGGGGGGTCGGCGGGAGAGGTTCGTGGAGGTGAGGGCGCGGGCGAGGGTGAGGGGTCGGCTGAGTTTGGGCCGAAGGTCCAGGGGCCCCATGGGGGGTGGGGCGGGGTGGAGGCTAAGACGCCGCGGCAGGTGAGTGCTCAAAGGCCGTTGCCTGGCGAAGGGCGGCAGTTCGCGGGGTCAGGTGGGTTTGTGCGGGGGGAGGGGCAGGGCAGGGTGGTAGCGGGGAGGGGGTGGCGCGGGGCGGGCCCCCTTACTCCTCAGTCTTCTCTGCGGAGTTGGGCACCGCGCGTCGTGAGGTGAATCCCGCGGAGACCCTGCGCGGCCCGCGGCTGCCTTCGACGCCTCGGCGACCGCGACGGCGCGGCCGCTGATTGGCTCGCGCGGCTGCGGCGTCGAGGGGCGGGGCCTAGGACCCCCGGCGGGGCGGGGCCGGGCCGCGCCGCCTGCACCCTGCGGGCGTCCGGGAGCGCGCGCCTGGGTGGGCACGTGTAGGATAAGCTGCTGGATAAGTGGGGCGGAATTATTAACTCCCACCGCTGAACCCCCAGACATTGAAAGCACAGTTGTAAGTGTGAATTTCCCAGGGGAAGGGTCCTCAGAGTTCATCAGTTTTTCCAAAGCTCCAGAGACCCCTTCCCCAAATAAAGTCCAGAGTTTGAGATCTAGAGACAGAGGGGCCTGTCGGGATGTCGGGGCACGGGCGGGTTTTCCCTGGACCTTTGAGAAGGGGGTTCTGTGGATCGGCACCGAGGGGGGCGGTTACTCTGGGAGCCCCTCAAATTACTTGTAAAAGGCTACCAACCTATTCATCTACCATCTAGGGCAGGTTCAGATATTTCATTAGATTCTCACAGACTCAAGGACCCTACACATATGAAAAATCACTGACTTAGAGTTTCAGTGCTCAGCTTTTTCTTTTTCTTTTTAAAGATCTGTTTATTGATGCATTCAAGAACTGGGGTGCAGGCCAGAGGTGCAGGGTGTGAGGGGACTCACCAAAGACAGAGTGGGGAGCAGAACAGGCAGATCTACTGAAATACACTGCTGAGGGGAGCAGCGGGCAAGACAGGAGAGGTCTGCCTCGCCATGTGGGTCAGCTCCCTGGCCGGGGATCGAACTCGTGCTGCAGTGGCTGCAGATAGCTTCATAGTGCTGATGTTAACCCCTTGTGCCACCAGGGAGGCCCCCACCCCACTTCACATCATTTTTACTCTGTTGCTGCCCTCGTGAAAGCAGGACAAAATCTGAAACTTTTCAGCTTATCTCCAGCACCCTGCCGTGGATGGAACATGCTTTAAAGGAACCTGGCTCGTAGAGAGGCCGAGTGACTTGCCCTTGTGCCCAGTGCTGAACCTGGATACGAACCAAGGCAGCCTGGGGCTCCCGTTCCGAAATGTGCCCCTAGAATCTAGGGGAGACCTGACCCTTCCTTCTAGCTCCTCATAGAATTTAGTGAGTAGCAGCACAGTGTGCTGATGCTTACAACAGGCTAGTTAGTAGACTCAGTTATTAATTCAGTGCCCGTGATTTAAGTGGATCATTGATGATCTAGAGCACTGACTTCTAGCCACTTGGACCTTCTTCCCCAGACAGCCTGCAGTTCTCTGCGCAAATGTCAGCTCCTCAGAGAGTCCTCTCCTAACCCCCTGTTTGAAATCCCTGCCCTGCTTGACCCCAACACTCCCTGTCCCCATTTTCAGTTTGATTTTTCTGTACACATGTTGAATGAATGAATAATAAAGATTATACAATGAGCATACTAATAAATGAATCAGCAGTGTTAATATGATCCTCTTGTTGGTAATCATGTAATCTGTTAGCCAACCTATGTTGGGCAGAATAAAGTGCAGGACAAAGTTCCACATGCTTTTATGTGTATTGTCCAATTTATTCCTCATGACCACCTCTGATGTAGGTTATACTCACTATACCCATTGTCCTGATGGGGAAACTGAGGCACAGTGAGGCGAAGTCTCTTTCTGAAGGTACCACAGCTGGTAAACAGTGGAGGCGGGATGTGAGTTTGGGTCTTCTGGCTCCTGAGCTGAACACTCAGCCTCTCTGGGTCCGTCTCTCCCCTCTCGCCAGTGACACTGGCCATGGACAAGCCAGCAGGCCTGCAGGTGGACTACGTCTTCCGGGGCGTGGAGCATGCTGTGCGCGTGATGGTGTCCGGGCAGGTGCTGGAGCTGGAGGTGGAGGACCGGATGACCGCCGACCAGTGGCGGGGCGAGTTCGATGCCAGCTGTGAGTGTCTCCTCTGGGGTTCGGGTTGGGGGGTCTTGCCTGTCTTTCCCGGGGATCAGCTTCTCCTAGAAAATGGGGTCAACCAGGATTCCTGCTCACCTGGCTCTTCTGCCTGGTGAGGAGGGGGAGCGGGGCTCGTCCCTCAGGCAGGAACATGGGAGTTGGGGAAAGTTGGAAAGCTTGGATGGTTGCTTTGGGCTGGGCAAGTGGCCAGACGTCATGAAGGACTTTTCTCCCTCCCCAGTCATCGAAGATTTGACTCACAAGACAGGGAACTTCAAACAGTTCAACATCTTCTGTAACATGCTGGAGTCGGCCCTCATGCAGGTAGGACCCAGGGGTGGGGGCTGGGGAGATGTCTGGCCCCAGATGCCTGACGGGGGAGGAGATGCCTGTCTGATGTCTGCAAGACCCACTTCCTTCACTTCCCTTGAAAGGCAGAGCTCTTTTTCTTTCCTTCCTTTCTGAATCAAGTAACTGACTTTGATTCTAAAGGTACTTACCTCATGTAGAAAAGTGAAGTCCCAGAATGTAAAGAAGAAAGTAAAAATCGTGCCTCCCCCGGTGGCGCAGCGGTTGAGCACTGGGCTGCGAGGCTGCCCGCATCCTCTGCAGCGCCGGTTCGATCCCCGGCCACCGGCGAGGGTCCCACAAAAAAGAAAGTAAAAATCGCTCCACCCTTAACACTAACCCCTGGTAATATTTTGCTGAAAAATCACTTAGCCATTTCTCCAGTTCTCTTTTCACTTGTGAACAAAGGATGTCACATTTGCTAACATCCTCTCTGTCCTCATCAGCCAAATCTCTCAATCTTTGAGAAGCTCTTAAGTACCCAGTGCCAGATATAAGTTTCCCCAAATTCGTATTTTTCCGTTGAAGTTGGAATTTCTTCATTGACATCAAATGCCCTTAGTGGTTTTGCTGGCAGTGCCAAGCTTACTTTGTCCATTTTGGAGACGATGCCAGTGACGCCAGCCTGAATAACCTTAGCTGCGTCCGTCAGTTGTTCTTTCAGGTAAAAGTAGCCTTCCATGAAAAAGTGGTTCATTTTCCTCAAAACTGGAATGCACAGGTGCTTTTCCTGAAAGAGCTGTCCTCCTTTGGGGTATGTCGTCCTTGGGGTACTGCAGGGCGCACACTTCCCATTGATGGTCCCACAGAGCAGTAGTAAAAAGTGCTCTGGGATCAGGAGTTAATAAAATGATTCATTGTTACAGCTTCCTCAGGGACATTCTTCAGTTGATTTGCTTATTTTTGCTCCCTCCCTCCCGACCCCCCCACTGAGACTGCCCACTGATGGAGGATGCAATGAGGAGACAGTGACCCTGACAAGTGGACAAGAGTCCCACCCGCTGGACTCCCTGGAAGGCCCTGTGGGTCTGAGGAGGACACTTAGCTGGCCGCAGTGTGAAGCTCAATTAAATGGCTGGGCCTGGAGCTTCCTTGTCTGCAGTTCCTCCCTCTGAAGGCATCTTGGTGCCAGCCCTGAGACAGCGCCAGGGTGGCTGTCAGCCTCGCTCTAGGCAAGCTCAGCTCACCCAGAGTTCGGGCTGGGCGTGAGGTGTGTGTCTCACTTTGGCGACGTTGGCAGCTCTTCCCCTCATCTCCCAACAGAGCAGTGAGTCAGTCACCCTCGACCTGCTGACCTACACGGACCTGGAGTCCCTGCGGAACCGCAAGATAGGTCGCCCAGGCCCCCTGGCCTCCAGATCAGCCCAGCTCAACTCCAAGCGCTACCTGATCCTCATCTACTCCGTGGAGTTTGACAGGTGGGGACGGGGGCTGGGCCAGGCAGTAGGCAGGTGGGAGAGGATGTGGCTAGACCTCAGGAACCCTGGCACCCAGGACAAGGGGGTGCTGCTTAGACCTGGTCTGGGGAATCTTCAGTGTTGAGGTTTATAGCGCTTGTCGTTAAACCTGACTACAAGTGCAGAGTGGCCATTACCAGTGCCTTAAGCTGTAGTTGGTCTTGTCACATGATGTCTCGGTGGGTGGCTGCCATTCAGTAGTGTCACTAGGGACACAGGCTCTTTCTGTTTTTTCTTTAAATTACATCCTTATTGTGTTGGCCTTTTGACCTCCCACATAGTCACAAAGTGACTGCTGGACCTCCAGGCATTGCATCAGTATCAAAGCCAGAGGAAGAGGCACAGGACTGTCCATTGCCTCCACCATTTTTATCAGGAAAGTCTTCCCAGAAGACTTTCCATCATATTTGGCCAGAAGTGATCACATGCAAGGAATGCTGGGAAATGAATAGCTGGCTTTCTATCCTGTATAGTGAGAGGCAACAAGGGGAGAAGGTAGTTGGGGATGGCAGTTGGATGGTCGGGGTACAGTGACCCTTTTGTCCTGGATTTTCTAGTAGGGAGTTATCCACCCTCTGAATAGCATTGGCTGGGGCAGTGAACGAAGGTGCCCAGCCCAGGGGCCACAGGGATCAGGCTATCTTGACTTTCCCCCTGTGGGATTGTTTGGCTGCAAGTAACAGGACCCAGTGTCCCTTCCACCAGCCACATGTGAAGAGGAAGTGGCCTCAGATGGTACTCAGCCTGTCAGCCTGGGTAGTTCCCACATTGCTGGCTAAGGGGCCTTGGGCGGCTGGCCGCTAGAGAGGTGTGGAGGCAGGAGGGACCCGGAAGCCGTGCTGAGGACAGAAACTTCTAGGAAGGTGGGGCCAGGGAATCATGTCTGATGTGCCTCTCAGAATCTGCTATACTCTCGGTGGACGCTTGGCCTCTGAGACGCCTTGGTTCTAATCCTCCTCCTCAGGATTCACTACCCGCTGCCCCTCCCGTACCAGGGCAAGCCGGACCCCGTGGTCCTTCAGGGTATCATCCGCTCGCTGAAGGAGGAGCTGGGCCGCCTGAGAGGGCTGAATGGCCAGGACGCTCGGGACACACGGGAGACTGAGATCTGGCACCTGCGGGAGCAGTGAGTCTGGGTGGCTGGGGGGCATCCAGACATGCACTGAGGGGGCTGATGCTTGGCACTGTCAGGAGGGTGCGCATCCCTCGCTCCCAGAAGAGTTATTCAGCAGTGCCAGAGACAGTCCTGGCCCTCCATGTGGTGGGGGTGATAGATCTGTCGGCAGACAGTGAGACAGTGCAGACGGGGGCGGGCGGGGAGCCCAGAAGGGAGACTTGATGCTGCTGGTAAGTGGGGCATCCCAGCAGCGGGAACAGCATGTGCAAGACAGGGTGGGAGGTGGAGCCACCATCTTTTGTGCTGCCCCCCTGCACAGGGGCACAGAGATGTTGATCACATCACCCCCCGACTGTGTCTTCGTAGTTGGGAAGGGGAGCCTGTATTTTTTTTTTTTTAATTTTTTATTTTATTTATAGAGGCATGTTTTTATTTGTTTGTTTGTTTGTTTTGTTTATACATGCACTGGGTACAGTCAGAAGCGCGGGAGAGTGAGAGAATTCACCAGAGCCAGAGCAGGGAGCAGAGCAGGCAGAAGGACCAAAGTACACTGCTGAGGGGAGCAGCGGGCGGCAGGAGAGGTCTGCGCACCATGCGGGACCCTCCTCCGGTGGCCGGGGAGCAGCCGGGGATCGAACCGGCGCCGCAGAGGCCGCGGGCAGCTTCGCAACCCAGCGCTGAACCGCTGCACCACCGGGGAGGCCCGGGAGCCTGTATTAAGCTTCCCCGGGAGTCTGATGAGGCCAGGGGTGGGCCAGGTGAAAGGAGTGGGGAAAAGTGTTCTAGGCAGCAGGAACAGCATGTGCAATGCCTTCTGTTAGATGGGAATTGGTGAGAACAGGGGACTGGAATAGTGACGTGAAGAAAGCCAAGGCACTGGGTATACTGACTGCTGCCCGCTGTCAAGCTGAACGGGGGCTCAGTGTCTAAGTGCAGGAGGCCCCACTCATTGGGGTGGGTTGACAATATTTTTAGTATTAGTAATAAAAATAAACAATACCAGTAGCTAATATATATTTTTAAAGACTTATTTTATTTATTTATGCATACAAGAACTGGGGTGTAGGCCAGAGATGCAGCAGTGGGGTGGGGGTGGTGAGAGGATTCACCAGAGACAGAGTGGGGAGCAGAACAGGCAGATCTACTGAAATACACTGCTGAGGGGAGCAGCAGGCGTTTCAGGAGAGGTCTGCTGCACCATGTGGGTCAGCTCCCTGGTGGGGATTGAACTCATGTTGCAGTGGCTGGTGATAGCTTTATAGTGCTGTCTTTAACCCCTTGTGCCGCCAGGGAGGCCCTCCAGTAGCTAATATTTATTAGCTGTGTGCTAGGAACTCTGCTTATTGCTTTATGACTAAATTAATTTAATCCTTACAAAATTAGTACTGCTGTTGTCCCCATTTTACGGAACAGGAAACTGAGGCCCAGAGAGTTGAAGAACTTGCTCCAGGGCAAACGGAATACTATGGCAGAGAGCACGATAGACTGTGTTTCCCAGACAGGACACAAGGTGGCGCCCTCTGCCTTTCTGAACGAACCTCAGAACTAGCAGGGTGACTTCAGAGCCCACTGCCAGATGGGGGCTTAATGTCCTCCTCCCAAGTAGGAGTTCAGGAGTTTGTGAAGACTCCTAACATTTATTAATTTATTTCCTGAACATTTGTTCGTTCATACAGTGCTAGTTAATGTTCCTTGAGCCCTTACTCGGTGCCACACACTCTTAGATTCCTACCATCTTAGACATAGATATGGTTTCCATCCCCTTTTCAAGAGATGTGAGTGGAACTGCCCAAGGTCACCCAGCCTGTAATAAGTAGAGTAGAGCTGGACACAGGCAGCCTGATGGGGGCCGGGGTTTCACACAGCAAGCAGACAGCTAGAGGCTGTGCCCTCACGGGGAGAGGATCCAGAGAGAGATCGGATACTCACACTGACAAATGGCAGCTAGGAAGCTGAGAAAGGGACACATAAGAGATCAAGGAGAGCAGGGAGCAGGAAGACATGACCTATCCTGCTGGAGGAGCGCTGGGGGAGGTGATATTTGAAGGATAAGCTGAAGTGTTCCTGCTCCACTGAAGACCAAGCTGTCCATTCCAAGGGAATTGCATTTGTACAAAAAAGCTTGGCTGGAACAATGAGGGAGACAGAAGAGGGGAAGGTGCTGGGGATTTAACTGAAGTGAAGTGAAGTCAGCTCCTTGGAGAGCTTGACGGAGCCACAGATTTGGGAAAAAAAAAAGTTTTATCAGGAAAAATTCCCTGCACATGCAAAAGTGCACAATGCAGGCCTTCCTGGTGGCGCAGGAGGTAAAGACAGCGCTATCAAGCTATTGGCAGCCACTGCAGCAGATCTCACCTGTCTCTCCAGCTGCTCCCCTCAGCGGTGTATTTCAGTAGATCCGCCTATTCTGCTCCCCACTCTCTCTGGTGAAACCTGTCACCCCGCACACCTTTGGCCTGTACTTCAGTTCTTGTATGCATAAATAAAATAAATCTTTAAAAAAAAAATCAAACAAAAAACCAAACGGGCACAATGCATCTATGTGCCCCAGCATCAAGGGGCGTCCATATTTGCCCATATCACTGATCTCTGCGCTCCGCTCTCCCCTAAGCAAGTCCTAGACATATCTGCTCTGTAGACACTCAAATATGTATTTTTAACATATAAGGGCATGTTAAAAAAGATAAAGGTTGTTACCACAGCCAGCAAAATGAACAGAAAGTCCTTAATGTCGTCTAGTACCCAGGGGCTGTGCGCTCACATCTGTCTGGTCGACACCCGACTGTCTGTGGCCGGCGCCTGTGAATAGTATCTGAACCCACCACTCATTCCTTGATGTGTTTTTTAAATCGCTTTAAATGGCTCAGTCCTTCTGGGTTTCCAGGCTCCTTATTTTTGGAAGAAGCCGGGTGTTTGTCCTGTGGTTTCTCATGATTGGGATTGTACTGGTTTTCTTGCCGTGGTAACATTCCACTCCCTCATCCCCTGCACGTCCTGCGAAGTGGTCCTTAAACCCACAGGCCGATCGGTGGCAGGTTTTGGCGAGACCCCTCCTTGGCGGTGCTGTGAGCTTGTCCACACTCGGTGATGGTGAGCTGGCAGGTTGAGCCGGGACCCTCTCTAACAGAGGTTCCGAGCAGCCCCACAGCTCCTGGTAATTTTCCTTTGTGTTTGTGTTTTTGTTTTTGTTTTTTTTTTAAGATTTATTTATTTATTTATACAAGAACTGGGGCACAGGCCAGATTCGAGGGGTGGGGGTGGGGTGAGAGGATTCACCAGAGACAGAGTGGGGAACAGAACAGGCAGACTGATAAAATACACTGCTGAGGGGAGCAGCAGGCAAGACAGGAGAGGTCTGCCACGCCATGTGGGACCCTCACTGAACCGGCTCTGCAGAGGCTGGACAGCTTCACAGCACTGTGCTCAACCACCTGCTCCACCAGGGGAGCCCCTTCCTTTGTGTTTTCTAGTTTCCAATGAGGCTAAGCCCTCCTTTGTGTTTGGGAGGCCTGTAGATCCTCATTTGTGAGTTGCCCCTTCCCCTACCTTGTCTTTTTGCTGATCGTGTAATTCTTCTTACTCATGTCTGGAGTTCTTCATATTGTCTGGATATGAGCTCTTTGTGGATTTTAAGTCTTGGAGAGTCTCATGCTCATACTGGTATCTTTGAATAAACAGAGGTTCTTAGTTTTTGTGGTTTTTTTTTTTGAGATTTATTTATTTATTCATACAAGAACTGGGGTACAGGCCAGAGGTGTGGGGGCTAAGAGGATCCATCAGAGACAGAGTAGGGAGCAGAACAGGTGGATCTACTGAAATACACTGCTGAGGGGAGCAGCAGGGAGACAGGAGAGGTCTGGTGCGCTATGTGGGTCAGCTCCCTGGCTGGGGATTGGACTCAGGCCACAGCAGCAGTGATAGCGATGAGACTTAACCCCTAGGCCATCAGGGAGGCCCTTTGCAGATGTTTTTTGATGTACATATTTATTGTCTTTACGTTTGGCCACTAGAAATACCCTCACTTTGGCTCCTTTATCCTTTTGAAATGACCCCATAACTGGATGGATGCCTTTTTTTCCTGGCTTGTCAAGATGTCTAGGCTGCTTATACAGCCTCAGAACTGGCATGAGTCATTTCTTCAAGGAGCCTTGGTTGTTTTTCTTTTGGAATTTAGATATCGTGGTCTGGCCACTGAGGCTGTTCATTGTCACTGAGTTGACCTAACTTTTAGGCATTTTGCGAGTGGAAAGAGCCAGGAAATACATTTTCAGAATAAGAAAAATAATGTTTGTGTTTATCTAACCCCTCTGATTTGTATGTCTTCTCATGCTGAAAATCTTAATTTCTAATAACACCATTAATTATTTGCTTTATCTTAATAATTCCATTAATCCTTCTAAGAGTATCGAATAGAGTTTAAGATGTGATTGCAGTTCTTTTTGCCCTTAGGCTATTATTCTACTTGTTAAGAGCAAGTGTTTTTCCCTTTTAGGTCACTTAACATAATTCTCCTTCCAGAGGCCACCGACTTTGACATGCAACTAGGTTAGGTTTGAACCAGTATCTTTTAAAGCCGTAGGGATTGCTTTTGTTACAATTTTTAAAAATAAGTATTTTCATGGCTCCAAAGTCAAAATTGAAAAAGAAGGTACGGGGACCTCCCTGGTGGCGCAAGGGGTTAAGACGCAACCTGTGAAGCAACCCAGAGCCTCTGCAGCACAAGTTCGATCCCCGGCCAGCCAGGGAGCTACCTACATGGCACAGCAGACCTCTCCTGTCTCGCCCGCTGCACCCCTCGGCCATGTACTTCAGTCATTCTGCCTGTTCTGTTCCCCACTCTGTCTCTCGTGAATCCTCTCACCCCCTGCATCTCTGGCTTGTACCCCAGCTCTTATATGCATACATAAATAAATCTGTAAATTAAAAAAAAAAAAAGAAAAAGAAGGTGCATGTAAACAGGTCCATTTCTGTCTTCTTCCCTTTCCCATAGATAACATACCTTTTTGTTTTTGATTTAACCTTATATATATTTAAAATATGAACATAGATATATAATTTACAACCCCCTCTTTGCTTTTTCAAAAAGAGAGGCATACATAACATTGCCTGAGCTGCTCTTAAACTTACATCCTGGCCATCACTTGGTGATGGGATACAAAGCTGTCTGCCTCATTCCTTTTTTACAATTGTGTAATAGTCCAGTTAGGGCAGATGCCCCAAACATTCAACTGATGTGCATTTTGCTTGATTCCACCCTTGTGCAGCAGTGTATATAGCATTGTTTATAGGTCATTTTTTAAGATAAATTTTTACTGAAAAATCATTGGTAATGATATATGCAGTTCAGGTGTGCAGCACTGTAAGTCTACATTTGTAAACACCCCATGTACAGTCATTTTCTCAAGGACCGGTTTGTTATTTTCAGAGTCCTGGCGAATGGGAAGGCAACAAGTCCTGTCTGGGGGTCTGGGCCAGGACCTCAGCACCTCGGGGCTAGGCTTTCAGGATATAGAGGATAGATTGGTGGTATATTTTGTAATGAAGCTTAAACGGCTGTGTCTTTCCAGTGGGATGGATGGTGGTGATGTGGCATGTCCCTCAGGTGGGGAAGGTGGGCTGCAGGTGATAAATCAGGCCATTTTACTCTACCCATGGGAGTGATCGAGTTACCCCTTCGTTGTGGAGGTGAGACGGTGCCTGCCCACCCCCAGGCCGGAAAAGGGGATGATTAGACCTCAGTCCCGGCCTCCCCTCTGCACCCCGCCCCAGCCCTCGCTCTCACCTTTCCTGCAGGGTGTCCCGCCTGTCCTCTGAGAAGCGCGAGCTGGAGACCCAGCTGGGCCGATCACGCGAGGAGGCGCTGGCCGGCAGGGCGGCGCGCCAGGAGGCCGAGTCTCTGCGCGGGCTTGTGCGCGGCCTGGAGCTGGAGCTGCGGCAAGAGCGCAGCGCGGAGACCCGCGGGCCGGGCCGCCGCAGCCAGGAATGTCGCCGCCTGGCCAAGGAGGTGAGGGGGCGAGCCGGCCAGCGGGGTGGCCAGCGGGGGCGGACCACGGTCTCAGTCTGGATCTCTGCGCCCGGATCCTCACTGCAGCTCGAGGAAGTCAAGGCTTCGGAGCGAAGCCTGCGCGCGCGGCTCAAGACGCTGAACTCCGAGCTGGCCATTTACAAGAGAGGGTGAGGGGCGTGGCCAGGGTGGGCGGGGCCTCGGGGCTGCAGGTGGGCCTGGGCTTGGCGGGGGCGGGGCCTGGGGAGGAGGCAGAGTCTGAGGAGGACTCGGAGCGCCCAGAGATGGGGGGCAGGGCCTGGGGGCAGGGCGGGGAATGAAGGAGAGGGCGCTGGGGGCCGAGGGTAGGCGCGGCTGATTGGGCTCCGAGGCCTCGGGAGGACCGCAGTTTCGGAGCCGGTGGGCGGGTCTGCGGAGAGGTGGGCCGGCTTCAGGCGGCGGAGCAGGGGCTGAGGACCGAGGAGGGCCGGACTCCGACGCGCGGAGCGAGAGGGTGTCACCCGCAAGTGGGGTTGGGGGCGCTGGTTGGCGTCCCTTAGCGCTTGTCAGAGCGGCGGGACGTCGGGAGGGGCCCCGGGGAGGACCCGGCGAGCGGGGCTTACGTGAGGTTGTCGAGCAGCGCCAGCCGGGCTCTTCTGCGGGGCGTGGGGGGTCGGGGAGGCCCGGAGCGGCGCTGGAGAAACCCCCGCTGCGGCGCGGAGTTCTCCAGGAGCGCCGCGGGCGCGGGCGCGCGTCGGGAGGGCATGGCGGGCTGGGCCCGGGCCTCGGCGCGGGTGCGCTGGGGAGAGGCTTGGCCAGGGAGCCGGCCGGGCCGTGGGAAACTGACGGCGGCCTGGGTTCCAGGAGACGCACTCCGCCGGTGGCCGCGCCCCGGGCCCGGGAGGACCGGACTTCCACGTCCCGGGAGCGCTCCACGTCGCGCGGCCGCGGCGCCGCCCGCTCCTCTTCCCGGGAGAGCCGGGGGCGAGGCCGCCCCACCCGCCCTTCGCCCTCGCCCACAGGTCGGTGCGTCCTGCTCTGCGCCGGGAGGGTGGAACGGATGGGGCTGTGGGGGCGCGATCGCGTGACCCCGGCCGCGTCCGCTCTGCCTGCCCCCCCAGGTGGTCGCGCGCCCCGTTTCGACCCGACGGCCTTCGTGAAGGCCAAGGAGAAGAAGCAGAGAGAGATCAAAACGAAGTTAGCGCCCGTGTCTTCCCTGCGGGCCTGTGTGCCCGGCGCGCCGGCCCGTGCCCTCATCTCTGTCTCCACCTGTGCCCCCCGCCTGTCAGCTCCCCCCGCTCCCCCCCGCCCCCCCGCCCCCTCTCCCCGCGACCTCCCGCGCTTCTCCTCCTCTTCGCCCGCCGGCCACGGGCGGCTCGCGGGCCCTGGCTGTCGCCCCGGGGGGCAGCGACGCCTTCCCCACGGGCAAGCCCCTCCTTACCCGCTCCCCAGGCTGCAGCAGCGGAACCGGTTGGGCAGCGGAGGAAGCGGGGACGGGCCATCCATCTCCTGGTCTCGCCAGGCCCGCGGCCCGGCCGCCCTGACCGGCCGAGGGGATGCGCCCAATCGCTCCCGGAACCGCAGCTCCTCGGGTAACTGGGCCGGGGCGCGGGCTGGCGGGCGGGCCGGGCACGCGGGCGGGTGCGGGAGGCCCACGCGCTCCTTCTCCCTCTAGTGGACAGTTTCCGCAGCCGCTGCTCGTCCGCCAGCTCCTGCAGCGAGTTTGAGGATTTCTCCGAGTCCCTCCGTAGAGGGTAAAACTTGGAATGGGGGGAAGAACCGCTCCCGGTCGGGTGTGTGGGGAGCCTGGAAACAGTCTTTTGCAGGGTAACTGGGTGTCAGAGGCTGGAGCCCTGAAATCACGAAGGAGGGCGAGGTGGGAGGTGCCAAAGAGCGGTCCATTAGTCTATGATTGCTTCCTTCCAGCGTCCGCCGCCGCGGGAAGCCTCCCAGCCCCACCTGGACCCGCTCCAATATGGTGAGAGTCTCTCCTGCCTCCTCGGGGAAGGTGGGGGCAGCACTAAGCCGCCGGAAGCCGCTGTCCCCTTCTGCCATGGTTGTGTTCTGGGGGCCTGCCTGGTGGAAGCCGTTCTGAAATGACCCGGCGCACAGAGGCCTTTGGGTTGGAAGGGAGAGTGGGGTGATGAGGGCACAGAGGACACTGGCTGAGACCATCACCTCTGGCCGCAGATTACAGGTTTTAGAATCTGACCGCCCCTCTGTGATGCAGGTGGTTTCTTAGCCTCTCTGTGCCTGTTTATTAGATAACTGGGCTTGGTAATGGCTTTCCCCTCCCAGCGTTCTGGTGAAACTGTGAGGTGCTCAGTAGGTGTCAGCCCTTACTTTTTTTGAGGTCCTTAGGTTCAGAATTTCTGGTGGGATTTGGGGCCGGAATAGAGGGAGGGTGCCTGATCCCCGTTCTTACCTCCTGTGCAGCAGAAGTCTACCCCCCTGGAACGCGGCCGCCATCAGAGACGCCTGGCCAGTTCGGGGACCTGGGTCCCCATGAAAGGTGAGCCTGGGATTCCACCTCTCCAGAGCCCACTGGGGGTGGTACTGAGGGCAGCAGATTAGACCCCATAGCTCCTAGCGGTGGCAAACCCCTCCCAGCCCTCCACGTGCTCGTCTGCTCTCGCAGAGTACAGCTCCGACCACCAGGCGGCCGACATGGCCGAGATAGACGCCCGCTTGAAGGCCTTGCAGGAGTACATGAATCGGCTGGACACGCGGTCATGACCTGGAGAGGGGGTGCTGCCCTTCCATGCCCCCTCCACCAATGGATCCGCAGGAGGCGGGGCCTTGCAGGAGGCGGGGACTCCCTTCCAGCCCCGCCCAGGCCCCGCCCCCTCCTGGTGCTCCTGGTGTCTCAGGTGCTTGGCGCCATGGCCCCGCCCCCTCCCCAGGTACTGCATGCTGGAAGGGAGGGTATTTGTGCTTTTTGTAAATAAATATATTTGCCCTTGGGATCCTTCAGCTTATGAGTGATGGGCAGGGGGTGGAGTGGGGAGAAATTAGTGTTGGGTGGGGGGTGGAGTGGGGACCTGTGTATATTTCTGGGTATATCTGTCACTGGGAGGCAGGTTGGGGTTCAGGTTCCAAAAAAACTAAGGCACTGTAAAAAAATGCAGGGGAGACTGAGCTGTCCTCAAAGGGATCCAAGTGGAGGTTCAGCACAGTCTTGTCTTTGGCTGTGTGGCGGAAATGGGGGCATCTTGCAGCATGCTTCGCTGCCTGGAGCACCCCTGTGCTGCTGTCCAGGTGTCTGGGCCGACCTGGTGCTGATTCCTGCGCTCTGACCTGAGACCTCTGGGTTCTGAGCTGTGATGTTGCTTCCAAGCTGGGATCTCTGGGGTCTTGGTTCAGGGTCGGGGCCTCTGGGTTCTGAGCACCAGCGAGGACAGACCGCTGGGAGACAGGCCCGGGGAGGGATGACTGAGGTCCAGGAGAGGGAGGCACGTGTCAGAACACAGTTTGAGCTGCACCTTTATTGGAGGGGGAGGCCCTGGGGTTTTTGATGGGGAGGGGTGGGAGATGGGGCCTCACTGGCGGTAGTGGGGCCAATCCTGGATGATTTCGTAGAGCCGATCCCCTGGAGAGAGCGTCTCTTGAACATCCCTGTGGCCTCTGACCTCGTAGTAGGGGAGCAGGGATCCCCTAGCCACCCCACAGGCCAGCAGACTCTGGGCTGCCCGGATTGCCCGGGGCGGTGGTGTCCGCTCTGGGGAGGCAAGAAGCAGGAGTGAGGCTGGGGCTTTCGGGAAAGGGCTAGGGATTCCAGCTGTGCACTCCCAGCAGGCCCCAGAGGGTGCAGACCCCGGCTGCCACTCCTTAGCAGTGACTGGCTCCCTGTGCCTGTTTCCTTGTCTGTGAGAGGGGAGAATAATGGCACCCCCCCCTCACCCGCCTCCCGGGGATGATAGAAGAGGGTTCATTTTGTAAACCCGGCAGAATGTGGATGGGTGTCTGGGGCAGTTAGTTGTTAGGATTATGACTTATTTTCCCTCCTCTGCTCCCAGACCCCAGGGTCCTCCCCACCCTAGCTGCCATTATGCCAAACACTGCTTTGGCATCTGGGGCCATCTGAGCACTTTTCTGTTGAACTAATTCCCACCCTTGGGTTGAAAATGGTCATCATCTAAAGGGGAGCACTGGGCTCAGAAAAGCAGTCCTGCATTCAAGGTCACCAAGCTGGTAGGTGGCAGGGCCCCTCACAGCCACCCACCCTGCTATGCCACACCCAGGCCCCATGTCAGCCCCGCTCCCCACCAGCTGAACAGCCACGTACCCATGTAGTTTCCCATGAAGGTGATGCCGATGGACATGGGGTTCCAGGAGGCACCTGAGTGGGCACCTATGGTGTCCCAGCCCCGACCCTCGTACACCAGCCCGTCTTCTCCGATCAGGAAGCTGTGTGGGTAGTGAGGGGGCCTTGATGAGGGAGGAGACTCTCCCCTCCTCCACCTCACCTCTTGCCGCCCTTACCTACCATTCATTATTTCCCCAGCCTCCCTCTTAACCGCTAATCTTCTACAGTGGCCATAACGTGGCCACTGCCACGTGCCAGGCACAGCCCTGATGCATCTTTTCTCATCCCCACAGTAATCCCGTTAGTCATTAGTGTCCCCACTCTGTATAGGAAACCAGAGAGGTGGAGACACTGGCCCATGGTCACACAGTCAGTCAGGGACAGAGTCAGGATTTTCACCCAGGTCTCCGTGAAGCCCCCCAACACAAGCTGGCCCCTTGCTTTCTCTTGGCCTCCTGGGAGGATTCCTTCAGCCCTTGATTTCCTTTATCTTCATCTGTATCCTCCCAGGCAGGCACCATTGTTATCTCTACTTTAAGCTAAGGTAGGCAAGAGTTAGAAAAAGGGATGATTTGGGGCCTGCCTGGTGGTGCAAGGGGTTAAGTCTCAGCACATCAAGCCATCAGCAGCCACTGCAGCGTGAGTTAGATCCCCGGCCAGGGAGCTACCCACATGGCACAGCAGACCTCTCCTGTCTCGCCCGCTGCTCCCCTCAGCAGTGTATTTCAGTAGATCTGCCTGTTCTTCTCCCTACTCTGTCTCTGGTGAATCCTCTCACCCCTGCATCTCTGGCCTACACCTTAGGTCTTGTATGCATAAATATATTTTAAAAAATCTTTAGAAAAAGGAATGATTTGCGCAAGGTCATGTCCCAGAGTCTTCTGCCTCTCAGACGTCCACTCACAAGCTCTTATGCCTCCGAACCACCTGCTTCCTGCCTCCTGTCCCTGCAGGTGTGCATTCGGGGGATGGGATCAGGGATATAGCAAGCCCTAGAGCTCCAGCATTTGCCTCTGAGATTCCCATCCTGACCCCAGGTCCTTAAAACTCACTCATCTGACATGTCCTGATGGAGGAAGTCTGACTTGACACAGTGGAATTAACGGGAGGATAGGTATCTGAGAGCTGCGGTCTGCAGCCACAGCCCCCCTGGCTCATAGGTGCACCAGCCACGCACAGGATGTTTACGCTTTTGCATCTTGGGTCCCACGTCTGCCACTTAGGGAGCCCAACTCAGAATCTGGCTCTGAGACGAGTTTTGTAGTGAGCGACTACCAGGACTGGGCGCTGCCACAGCCTCCCCGCTGATGGCGTTCCCTGTTTATTTGTTAAATGGAGTCAGCTGACTTGTAATTAAAACTTCTACACCCAGGTGGGGACAGCCAGGATCCCCCTTTCACAGTGAAGACATTGAGGCTCAGCGAGTACGCAAGGTGACAGAAAGGTGATCCTGGATAAGACTGAAAGCTAAAATCTGAGACGCGAGTTTGCTTCCCTGTAGGGCGATGGAGGCCAGAAGCTGTGAGCCCAGCCTGTGGTCTTCACAGCTTCCTGGAATCAGCCAGAATCAGGGCTCCTCACTCTTGGAAACAAAACCTTGAATTGGAACCTCTGAATGATCAAATCTTCAGGGGCAAGAGCTGGGGCTATCCCGGAGGCGTCTAGATTTCTTAGGAAAGCTCTCCGGTTCCTGGGCCTCACCTTGCCCCACTGATGCATTCACTAAGGGTGGGACCTGGGAGCTTGCATTTCCAGCAAGGTGATTTTCTGGTGCTTTCCGAGGCTTGAGAATGAATAGAACCTGAGAACCCCCATGGCTAGGGGGCCGTGGATCCCAGAAGCAATTCCAGCAAATCCGTGTCCCTGATTCTGCCCTTACTCCCTTCAGTCTGCTCTCCCCACAGCAGTCAGAGGGAGTGTCTCATCCCCTAGAAGCTCACACCCCTCTGTGGCACCTGGCTTTCCCGAGTGGAACCAAGGGCCTCTCCATGGCCCACAACTCTCTGCATGACCTGGCCCTGCCACCTCCTGGTTTCACATCTGTCCCCTAGCTCCCCACTGCACCTTACATCCTGCCATACCCCTCTGCTGGCTATACTATTCCCTCAGCGTCCCCCCCTTATCCCCCAGCCATCTCTGAGCCACTGTAGTAGAGACGTGGAGACCGCCCCTCACCTCACTCTGCCAACGGAGCCCCGCTTCTGGGCCCCTGTGTTCCTTCTCCCCATTGCTTCACCACCGGAAACCGCCCTGTGACTTTGGTCTTTCCCATCTGTTTCTCCCAGCGGGCCCTTACATCCCATTAGGCCCCACTGGCGCTGCTAGTGGCCGAGTCCCCATCCCTGTATCGGGCACCTGGCCCGGCACATAGTAGGTACCCAGTGGCAATAGTCTGGATTTTTGGTATCCAACCCCGTGGCAACAGCGTCCTAAGGGATTTGCATGTGTTGGCTGGTCCAGTCAAGCGCCTCCCACCCCACTGGCTTTGCTGAGGAGGAAGGTGAGGGCGAAGCTGGGAGACGGTGAGTCTCCTGGCCCCTCTCAGCCAGCCAGGAGCGGGATGGGGACGGGCACCTGGTCGGTGGTTCATCAGTCTGGTTTTCTGCCTGCTGACGGAGGCCCCAGACTCTGCAGGAGCCCCCGTGTAGAGGACCCCTCCTGCCCGTTGCCCAGTCTTGGCACAGACTTAGGCTTGAGCCCTCCTTCGCCCCCTCCTCCCCAGCTCAGGGCCCTCCCCGCACTCGCACTCCAGTCGGGGGCCCCAGCCTTCCCCTCCACACTCACTTGTAGCCCACGTCGCACCAGCCCAGGGTGCGTGCGTGGTAGTGCTGCACGTTCCGCACCTGCTGCAGGCAGGAGGCCGGAGTGTCGCAGCTGCGGCCCGCGGTGTGCGACACCACGACGTAGCGCACCGGCAGTGTCAGGTTCTTGTAGCACTCGGATTCCAGGGCCCTCCACTCTCTCCGCGGCACCACGGGGGCGCAGCAGTTGGGCGACTTGCCTTGCTGTCCGAGCGCGGGGCCGGGGAGGAGGGCCAGGAGGGCCCAGGTGAGCCGCACACGGAGGCCGAACATGGCGGGTGGGGCAGGCAGGAGTCCAGGAGCTCGAGTCTGGCCCTGCCTTTATCTCCTGGGCCCGAGCAGTGGGAAGATCTTACTTCACTCCCTAACGGGACTTCCTGCGTGGGTCACAGGGAACCCCAAACTCTGCTTCCTTCTCTGGTGGGACCTGAACAGGATGCGTTGCGGTCACGCTGGCCAAGGTGTGGAGGAGGAAGCGCGTGAGAGAACCAAGGGGCCCCTTATCCAACCGAGTGGGGGGCAGGGGCGCACAGGCCCCTGGACACTTCAGCCCTGTGGTTTCTGGAAGTCTCAGGGTCTGGATCCCTGCCCTACTTTGTCTCTTCTCTTAATGGGGCATTGGGCAACTCACCAGGAACCTAACAGGGAGCCAGGAGGAGCTGGGAGGGGCTGTGGGGGGTGGGGGTGAGGGGCTGGCAGGGCCTCTTCTTCCTTCTTCCTGCAGGGTCTGAGACAATAAAGTCTCCTCTTTTAAAATCACTTCTCTTTGGCCCAAGCCCAATGTTATTTAACCCTTGCAGCAAACTGAAGAGGTGAGTATTGGGAACCCAATTCACAGTAGAGTACACTGAG